AGCTCAAGACCATAGGTGAGGGCTGGGCTTTTCTATTTCAATACTTGGAAATGCACATAAAAATGCATTTATGGAAACATGGCTAATCACCACAGTTTCAAGGTGGGCAACCAAGACTGGCACAGAGTCATAAAAATAACCATCTTAAACTCTGTGTCTACTGGTACTTTCCAGAAACCAGGCACACAAACACAATCACACAAAATCACTACAGCAAAATGACTGTTGGAAATGAGGGTGTGGTGAGTGTGTTTGTGAGTGTGTCTAATGGAGAGTGGGTGTGTATTTGGAAGTCGTGCGTGTGTGTGTTTTTATAATGGTTCTCATTAGATTTAATGTAATTGGTTATGCAACCCGCCACGCTTGCCAGACTTTTTAATCTGACACCTTACAGCTACTCTCTTTTGCTCTCTTACACATGCTCTTTCTCTTTCAATTCTTAATGTCTCACATTATTGCAAATGACTAAGGTTGGGTTCCAATAACCGGTTACATTTTGCACTCTGTTCCAAGCTGTTAAAATACCTCATTTGTGAAGCTCTGATTTAAATCTCTTATTAAATATTTTATGTCCTCTCTCTTCCTTATTAGAAAAGCACAATTTACTATAAATGGCAATCCAACTGGCAAAGCCTGAGCTTAGGTTTTAGTACCTAAACATTACGTTACCTAGACAGGGTTTACCACAGCATTGAAATCAAGAGCACCTCCACTGATGTCAGAAGGACTTACAATTTAATAAAATATAATATAGGGCTTATAAAGCTCTGGCGGAAATGAGTAGTGGTGCTCCATCACACAGCAATTTCTTTAATGACTGAAGTGACTGTTTAAACCATCGTCATCGGGATCTGTCAGGTGACTGATTGATTACATCGAACAATCAGAGCAGGATGTTGCAATATTGGGAAAAGGGAAAGATGATTGCACACGTCATAAAGACAGATGCAGGAGTCAGAGATGTGGCCGCGCTGATACACAACCACAGATCCAACCCAAATCTGCCCCAAAGTGAGGGCGCTGACCATCTGCATTTACCAATTTCCTTGGGGAAACCTCTTTATAGCATTATCACTTTAAATTATTAAAAGCTAAACTTAATAGATTTGATAAGGCATCGGGAGGGTTTTCAATAAGAAAGTGGATTTGTTACTGGATTCCTGACATGATTTGATAAAATGCTTTCAAACCACAATCCAACAGACGAGTTTTGTCTCGAGCATCAACGTTCATGACCGCTTGAAAGTACGACACAGTTTCTACCTCAAGTTCAGTGCAGTGTATGATTCCTAAACCTCGTGATGTGTAACTGTGTACGCTCCTTCATCCCTCCATCGGCTGCGGCAATATCAGAGGATTTACAAGCTGGATAAACTTTGACGTTAGGTTTTAAATTTAGGGTGGTGAGAGGCTTCATGTGACAGGCGTGCTTTCTATATGGAAGCCAGGGAAAGCTTAGAAAGCTGTGAAAATGTCTTGCTATCTGCCGAGAGCCTCCACTCAGGCTCGAGTGAAAATCATCAATGTGGGCTATGAGACAAGCATAACAAAACTGAAAAACAGAAGGCTTTTTAAACAGATTCACTCGTGGAAAACAAATTATCTTTGCTTGTTTATTCACGGAAGCTGCTAATTTTGGCATGAAAAAGCAGGACGTGGCAGTCAGACAAGTTTAGATGGAAACTGAGCATGAAGCAATACTGCAGAAAAGTCCTCAGGCTCTGATCTCCATCAGAGGTGACCACAAAGCTGTTTTAGACGGATAAATGACAGAGTAGTGCTTCTTGAATGGACAGACAAAAATCAATGGGACAGCAGAGAACAGACGATTTCTCTTGCTTATTACAGCTGGTTTTCTATCAGGTTTCTCTGGGACGTCTAATGAAAACATGAGCACAAGAGGAGACCTCCTTCATGAGTCTGGTAACTCGTGATGTGTAACACGAGCCTCTCCCTCTCTCTCTGGGTGCTCTATATTTCATGATGGGTGCAGGTTACATCTCTGAGCTGGGCTGAGGGGGGTTGGAGGGGGCACGTGTGTGTGTGTGTGCTGTCCATGTGTGTGCTTGTTTGCATGCATGCCTACAGGAAATATGACGCGGCCCAATCCACGGTGTCAGGGGGATTCTGAGAGTGTGTGTTTGTGTGAAACAGGGGCGGTGGGAGATGGGGATCATGTTTTCCGACATGTAGGGTGAATCCCTGACAATCTCAAGTGACACAAAATGACACTATGCTTGACCTATACAGGGCTTAATCATATCGCGACACACGCACACACACATGCACGCACGCACACACACACTACAGTTAATTACTTATTTACTCTGTCATGCACATACATGCCCAGGCCCCATGGACTTACAAGACACCAAGAACACTGTTGTAATAGCACAGCAAAGCATTCCACAGACAAGAACACAACTTCTTAACATCTATTATGTTTACAGCTGCAACAGTTAGTCAATTCATCGATTATTCCAAGTAGAAAATGCTAAAAATGTAGGGCTGCCCAACGTTAGTCGACCAGAAAGGTCATTAGTCGGCAAGATTTAATTGGTCACTTAGTCGCAGAAAAACAAAAAAACAAATGTGAATCTCTATTTGGAGCTGTGCCTTGTCAAAATAAATCAAAACCTATATGAATGGACCTTGTGGGAATTTAACTTCAAAGGACAGACACAGGAAGAGGCCACGCTCAGCAGTAATTTCCAGGGCTGGTACCTGCGGTTATTCCACAGGCTAGTTAATAACATGTCGGGCAGGAAATCCAAAGTGTGGGATCATTTTGAGAAGGTGAAGGACGAACCCAAGGTGATATGTAAACTCATCTTCATTGGTCAACTACAAACATGACGTATCATCTGAAACATGGAAGTAGCTACATGCCCATTAGCCCACAGCGTCATTAACAGGCGGCTTGCTCAGTGTGTGACGTGCACTTGTAGATAAAATATAGGCCTATATTAATGAAGGTTCATTAGCACGCTTTTGTATTTCTCTGTAATGTTGCACAGTGTTAACAATTATACTGATACTATTCTTTCTCACACCTTCAACTCAAACCATTGTGTTGCCCAGCCCAAATTATATCATTTAATTATTAAAGTATTATCGCAAACATGCGGGCGACTAGTCGACTAATGGCCCTAACTGTTGGTCGACTAGGCAGCCCTACAAAAATGTGATATTTCCAGGTTCTAAAACATGACGATTGGTTGCTTTTCTTGGTCTTATATTATAGCGAATTTCACATTTTTGGGTTTGGAAATGTTGGTTGGACAAAACAAGACATTTGATGAAGTCACTTTAGGCTCAAGGACATTGTAACAGGCTTTTCTCACTGTTTTCCAATATCATGTAGAGCAAACAATCCATTAATTGAGAACATTACCTACAGATAAGTCAATGACAAACATTATGGTCAGCTGCAGCCCTACTCACGTTGCAAACAAAACACTTTGTCTTCACAAAAATGAAGCAGAGCAGACACAACCACTGAACATGAACACAGTCCCCACAAATTTATTTTGTCCACTGGCTATTCCAATAAAGTTTAATCTAACAAGACAACCACATCCTTAACAAAGTAGATAAAACGAGAAAGAGCAGTGTTGTAGTACTTGGTACAATTCTAGGATGACACAAAATATGGAGCTGCAGATGTCTGGAAGATGCAGACAACATGGTGTCTGTTCTGCAGTGTGGTTCAGTTTCAAAGCACAGCACAGCCTCAGCTACAACATGTAAGATGATCCAATAATATTAAAACAAGCTTTTGTTTAACAAATGTTTTGACAGTAGTTATGAGGAAAAAAAGTGAGTGCGCAGAGCTCCCAAACTCCTCAAAACAGAGCCGACCAACATTCCTGACATGCCAGAGATCCATCCTATCAGTAAGATCACTGATGGTTCAAAAAGCAGTTTATTAGGCGTCTTGACACCCGGAAACTGAACTTGGAACAACGACCAGTTTGGCAGAAATGTGGCCTGATTGTAAAGTTAGACTCGGGGGCGACTAATTCGGGGTTGAAATTGGGATAAATGTTCCCTTTCTGAAACACAGCACTTTTTTTCCATTCATAAATTGGTCATCTAGAGGAATTTGTTGGAAATGAGGGACCTTTTTCTAAGAAGTGCAAACCTTAAATCATCATGAAATGGACTGTCTTCAATCTCAAACACAACCTTTCCTCTTCCATCACATGTGCCTGTGTCTATAGTTAACAGAAATGTAGCGTAACCATGCAAACACAGGTCTGTGACTCTACACTTCTGTGTTTTTCAGGAGACCTTTTTGTAATTTTGGTTTGTCAAGATCTGTAGGACATTGTTCCTTAAACAAAGGAAGCAATTTGGGCTGAGCATCATGAATGACACTTTAACCAAATCCTAATCCAAAGATGTCCATGCAAAATGTCTCAGTTTAAGATCTCCCATCTAATCCAGAGTCAAATAATTTTGTATTTGTGTCGGACGTGCAGATTCTGTCAAATTTGTAACACCAGAGTAAAATAAAATGCATTTCACTGACATGTAGGAACATGGAGAAACTGTGTGTGTGTGCGCATTTGTTTGATAGGAAACCAGTAACCACAGACTAACCGAAAGAACTGAATTGTACCAACACACACACGCTTCTGCTGCTTGTTGACTGGCTTCACACACAGACACACACACACTAAAAAAAGACCTGTGTTTGCCTCTCATCCTCTTCTCAGAGGGGAAGTATGGCCTTTTTCACATTCTCCTGTTTTTCCATTCGTCTTTCTCTCTCAGATATAATGAACAGTACTCATGAACTAGTGTGTGTGTGTGTGTGTGTGTGTGTGTGTGTGTACAGCTGACACCCCCACAGCGACTGAACAAGGGTTGCTGAGGCGTTCAGCACCCGCTCAAACAAAAACTGACTGTGGAGTTGGGGTGGTGGGGGTAGTAAACTAGTAAACACACAATAAACACACACAAACACACACACTCAAAACACACACCGGACTCACCTCTTGTCAGGGCGTGTAGCTGACTGGTGTTTCGTCCTCACAGCCAAGTCAGGACAGGAGCTGGATATTTGGAAAACAAAGAAGGAGAGGGAGAGACGGTCAAGACTGCCGGGTCTGGGATTATCACATTTGAGATGCAAAGCAACAGCAGCAGTATGTGTGTGTGTGTGTGTGTGTGTGTCTGTGTGTGTGTCTCTGTCTCTCGCACATACACTGATGAAGCCTGTAAGTCTAATAACTACATCTGATTTCTGTGTGTGAAAGGGTTTCCAGTGTGTGTGTGTAATTGGGCTTTGGCTGGTGTCCATGTGATGAGGCTGCACAGCGAGGCTTAAAAGCAGCATGAGCTTGCTGAGCTTCACACACACACACACACACACACATACATACGGGTAGCCTGTAGACACAGTATGAATTCTCAGAAACAATAATGAATAACTTCAGCCTGCGAAGAATCCCAACAGTCAACCTTTTCAAACAATGCAGCTATTCTCAGGACGCCGACCACCATCATCATCACTATCATCTCCCTCTCTCATCTTCATAATCAGCCCCAACATGTCGTCTCTGTCACCATCACATATCCTTTAGATTCCTGATAATGACTCTGTCCTAATGTCTCCTGGATCTATCCTCAGGGCTCAGTGTGACCCTCAGTCAACTCTACAGTTATATCAACGTTCTGCGGTCAGAGAATTTCACAGAATTAACTAATGACATTTCCATTTGAATGCATGTTACTCAGGCATTATAATCAGCCTTTAATGAGAGACGCAGGAGTAAGATGCTCTGCAAAATGATTAGCTCTGCAGCATGTGAATCACATGATGACTATCCCTTTCTTTGGAAAGTTAAATCACAGTTACAGTCAACAGGTAAACCTCAAACTGAAAACCAACGGTTATTAGTCAAACTGAAGGATGACTAAGTGTCACTGACTCACAAGGATTCAAGTGTTGACTTCTTTTTATGACAGTTTCACTACAACCAGCGTCCCCCTTTGACAAACTCTACAGTAACAGAGTTTCTCTCAGATGAATGCTGATGGTTCAGGGCATCTCAAAAGGGTAAGAACTAGACGTCTACTTGAAGACTGCACTGTGGAAAGCAATGGGAAGTTGGAGTAGTATGTGGAGCAAAAGTAGACAGATGACAGAATTTTTCAAAATTACAATACAGTTTAAAGGGATAGTTCAGATCTTTTGAAGAGGGGCTGTATAAGGTACTTATCCATAGTCAGTCTATTACCTACAACCCCAGTTTGAAGAAGCAGACAGGAATACTGCCAGTGAAGCTATTGAAATGTACTGCTGTGGACAGGGGCAGCAACAAAACATACTTTAACCACCTAAAAATTTAACATCAGTTCAAGTGTACACTATATTTAAAGTGTTTTTTAACACTTTACTTTGCTGTAAGACAGCAATTTCCAACAGGGGACTGAAGCAGTTATATCTTGCTCTCTTCAAAGCCAGACTCCATTGAGAGAAACAGTAATTTAACATCACTGAACTAGTGTTGTCACGATACCAAAATCTTTGTTTCGGTACCAATACCAATATGAATTTCGATACTTTTCGATACTCTTCGGTACTTTTCCTAAGGAAAAGTCCTTTTGGATACAAACCTTTATAACAATAAATAGTAGGGGTGTAACGGTACCAAAAAAAATCATGGTTCGGTAAGTACCTTGGTACGGACGTCACGGTTTGGTAACTCAAATGTTCCACCAAGTTTGTGTTGTCTCCCTTTGCGCGGCAGACTTTCTCTTGTCTTTTTTCACGTGCGCCAGCTGCGGATGTTGATACAGGTGTTGTCATACACACCACTTGTGCAATCTGTGCTCCAATAGGAACAAGAAAGGCATTTGTGTGCATAAATAAGTAAAATAAATTAACTAAATTAATGAATTGAATCAATTTCAAAGTACCGGTATTTTCCAAATGCAGTATAGTACCATTTGGAATACTCTAGTACCGCAGTACTATTTTAGTACACTACACTGAACACAAGAACTGCTTGTCCACTGCTGCCTTAAACTGGCTCATTTTTGGTGTTATTGTGTGACTTTAATGTTTCAAAGGGTTAGTTCAGATTGCCCAAAATCACATGATAACACAAACAAACTCAGTTATCGAGGCACCAGTAGACCAGCAGCTCCTGTGTTCAGCAAGCTTAAATTACTGGTTTTGTCAATGGAGTCTGGCGGCTTTGACGACCACACAGATGGGAAATGGAAGCTGTTAACGGCTTTCCCGTCATAAAGGGCTGACTGTGTCTAAGTAAAGTGGTGAAAATATTCTCAACATAGTGTTCCCATCCACAGCGGAACATTGGTTAGCTTTGGTGGCGGTACTCCTGTCTGCTTCTCTAAACTGGAGACATGCCCACTGCCATCTACTGTATATGATACACTGACTATGGATAAGTACCTCATACAATACCACTTTGAAAGAGCTGAACTATCTACCTACTACCTTTAATGCATGACAAAAATTTGACATGATGAAACTAAAGTTGAGGGAAAAATACCTGCTGATTTGGGCAACTTTTATTCTAATATCAGCCCTATTAAATCAAAGATAAAAAGGTACTATGCATCTGTGGTACATCGGCACATACGATTTGAATTATTTTGACTGATTAAAACTTCTTATCAGGACTGTGTGGGCACGTACAGACTGTGTTTGATTGACGGTTGGTCAAATTCTTGAGTCAAATTATACCACTATCATTCATTCTTATTCGTGAATTATGTTGTAATTCCAAGGTCCACCCAACTTACACAAAAGCAGAGCTTTAATTAGCAAAAATTAAGAGACCTGAGTGCATGTGCCACATCTAAAGGATGACGTTACTACTGCTATTACTACTACTTTGTCTAAACCACTTAAAAGCATTTACAATTCACAGGAAACCTGAGTCAAAGTGCACCTGCGCTAGATTCCCCATCCTGTCTCTAACACTTGATTTTATAGACTTAACCTAAGCAGCAATGCCTGATTTAGCAACACGTTATCATTAACTCGACCTGTCAGCCTGCTGCAACACAGCTGAGCTTGTAACGCAGCACTTCCCGAGCAATTGCACAGCCACTTGACCTTTCTCTGCGACCTTTCTGCTCGCGCTCAATACTGCGGCGGCTATATTTCTATGAATTATATCACTGCCCCGCGGGCTGCTCTCTCTGCAGCTCTAACATAAGATGATATGGCAGTCGAGCGTCGTGATGTAATGACATTGCAGCTGGTGATGTAACCAGCTCTGCAGGCGGATTCAAGCTGCACAATTACACAAAGCATCGTCAACGAGACAGAGAGAAAGAGACAGAGAGCGAGTACAAGAGAAGAAGTGTGAGAGAGAGACAGAGACAACAAGCAACACAAAGACACAGAAAGGGACACGCTGGTCAGACAATAGACAGCAGTCTGGGTCTGTGGATGCTAGTATTACACACACACACACACACACACACACACACACACACACACACTGAGCTGACCGGTTTGTAAACACTGCAGGACCGCTGCTCAGCTCTGTTGACTGACAATTAACACTGGCTAAGTGACAATCAATCAATGCCTCTAAGGCTGTGTAGTCCCGTCCACAGTGTGTGTATACACACAGGTGTGTGTTAGGATGGTGATGGGAATCCCAGGCTTTTAAGACACCCACTAGATGTAACACAACACCGCTCTTGTCAACATGCAAGTCGCAGCTACAGTGATTCGTCATCGCTCATCTCCCATCCATCAACGAGTAACAAACACAGAACTGTTTGCAAACTTTTGCTCCTGCAACCACAGCTTCCTGCCGTTTGCCACCGAGCTACATGAAAGTGCCTTGCTCAAGGGTGCCTCGTGGCATCTCATACCTCACTGAGAACCATCTCTAATCTCATGTGTTGGAGGTTTATCTGAATTAAAGCATTATAAAGTTGCCCAAGAGGTTAAAGTAATGGATTCACAAAGCAAACAGCCTTAATCAAATAGAGGCTTGTTCTACGTGTTTTTAACAGTAGTGAAGGTACTTCTTGAAGTCTTGAAATACAGAATTCCACATTGCACAGCGCTGACCTGCATACCTGACTGCCTGCAGGTGAAACACACGTTAAATCATTAGCTGCAGCCTAAGCACAGTCATGTATAACAGCTGACGCAGCAGACAGACTGCAGATGGTTGTTTCTGCTACTGTCATGTTTTATAACAGGATTACTCATCAGAGTAAGCCTGATCTGTTTCTCCTCTTCAGCCTGAACGGACATATTCTGATTTATTTAAAAAAAAATCTACATTTTATGAACAAGTTGAGAGAGCTTTATTTCACTCTCCTGGCTGTGTGTTAATGTTATGTATTTGTACACGACTCTGCCAGAGTGGCGAGGAAGGTTAATTTAGGGGTCAAATTATGATTGCAGTGGAAAATCTGGGCGAGTGATGACAGCGTTTGTTGGACAGTGGAACAGACAGGCCGGCTGGATGGCAAACTGTGTTGGATAATCAGATGACCTGCCAAACTGTGAGCCTGACCGCCTGCTGAAGCCTGTGACAGTTTTGCCTCACTGCTAGCCCCAGGGACACAAGACCAGCACTGGTTGTAGAACAGAATACAAGAGTACAGACAAGTGAAATGACTGGAGTACAGCAGGACAGAGTGCGACTGAATTTAGACCCGAAACATCCATTATCCATTAGTCGACTGACATAAAGCTGAACACCAGTATTTCAATGATTGGTTAATTTCTTATGGTATGGATTTGAGCAAAATGGCATTTCCAGCCTCTGAAATGTCAAGATTTATTGGTTTTCTTGGCAAAGGGCAGAGAAAATATGGATTTTATTATATCAATATTGTAATATGAAACAAGATAGTCTTAGATTTTGTTCAAGGTCCACACAGTTTAATACATTCAGCGTAATACCTGTGCTTGGCCATGTCTTTGAGCTAATTTGCTGTCTCTGTCAAGTAGCTGACCACTAGTCACTCACTATAGCAGAAAACACTTCATAATAAAAGCTCTGTGCTGGAAATTTACTGTACTTAAAAATAAAGTGTGTCTTTTTACAAACTTGACACGTTTACAAGTCCATTTAGAATGGACCCGTGATCCACCAGTTGGGAAGCAGTGTCCTAAGTATTCTCTTCCGCTGGTTTTAAAGGTTGCATTACAGTAAAGTGATGCAATTTTTTTTTGTGAGAGCACCAGTAGTCAACCCTACTATATTGTCACAAATTCAATAAAGGTATTTGTTCTAAAGCAGTGTGATACTTGATTGTCTCCGCATCACCCAGCCCTACTTTAGGCAATTTCAAATGTGGATTTTGGAGTGTCAATTGCAAGAGGCAAGCAAGTTAAAACATCTCCCTCAAGAAGACACAAGTTCAACACTAGTTACAGAATAGAATACAAAACTAGTGAAATGGCTGGAGTACAGCAATACAGAGAAGGACAGAATCTCAAGACATAGAGAAGGATTTAGACCCAAAATATCCATTATCCATTAGTTTATTGACAAAAAATTGACTACTACCATTTCAGTTATTCATTTTTATGGTATGGATTTTAGCAAAATGGCATTTCCAGCCTCTAAAAATTAAAGTTGTGCTGGTTTTCTTGGCAAAGGGCAGGGCATACTCTTAGATTATGGATGTTGTAATATCTTAAGTGTTGTCTCTCTCTGCTCTTAAAGGTTGCATTACAGTAAAGTGATGTAATTTTCTGAGCTTACCAGACTGTTCTAGCTGCTCTATTATTTGCCTTTACCCACTTGGTCATTATATCCACATTACTGATTATTATGTATCAAAAATCTCATGTAAATATTTTACTCCCAAACAGAAGGCTAAACAAATTGGTAATCAGCCAACTTGCTGGAGGGAATGTGGAGAAATGATGGCGGATCATGCCCATGTTTTTTGGACCTATCCCTCTATTCAGACCTTCTGGAAGGACATAGGAACAATAATTTCAAATATACTGGGTTTTAGTATCAGCTCAACCTTTACATCTCTTTATTTTGGTCATATTCCTGATGGACTGTGTAAAGATGACATTTACCTATTGAAGATCTTGCTGGCAGCAAGTAAAAAGGCCATTACAAAATGTTGGCTCCAAAAAAACAGTCCTACTGCAGGCCTTTTTGTTAGTACTGTTAAACACCTACATCTCCTCGAACAGATGACCCACTCCATACAACTCCAAAAAGAACTGGGAAAAAAACGGTGGTAAAAATGGTGTATTTATTTAGCCAATGAGACAGACACTTAATAACGACTGTTCTCTGTGTGACATTACATTGTAAAGATGCTAAATTTGTCTTGAGTCGCTATTCATCCCATGACCTCATATGTTTGTTCTGTATTGTGGTTTGTTTACTCCTGACAATGTAAAAAATACTCATAAATAAAAAGTTAAAAAGAGTACAGCAAGACTTTCCAGACTGTTCTAGCTGCTCTATTGTTTGCCTTTACCCATTTAGTCATTATGTCCGCATTACTGATGATTATCTAATCATAACATCTGTTTATCCAATCATAACATCTGTTTGTTTTATCCCATTTGTTAATTATATGCTTTGTGTTTTTAGAATGCCGCCTATGGACTGGTGTTGAAAATTAGCACGTGTGCTACATACACCTAAGCAAAGGCATCTGGTCTGTCCACTGGGACAGTCTCAATGTATTTGTGATGTCCATATCAAATAAAATAAACCTAAAATCTATTAAAAACCTCATGGAAATATTTTGTGAGAGCACCAAGAATCAACCCTACAATATAGTTGCAAAATCAGTATAGGTATTTGCTCTCTAATAGTGTGATATTTTATTGTCTCGTAGGACTTGTAGAAAACTCCTGCACACTGTCTAACTTGCAAAAACGTACTGTTTGCCTGATGAAGGTCTAGTCACCAAACCGTTGCAGCAGACGGCGTCTTCTCGTTCCTCTCCTACGCACTTGTTTGAAAATAGATGTGGCAAGTATTCCTTTGTTTTTTATATCTGATTGTCTTCATATCTCCAAGCCCTATTTTATGCAAATCTGACTTTGGATTTTGGAGCGTCAATTGCACAAGGCACACGAGTTAAAACACATCACCCTCAGCTCCTTGGAAATGATGGTTATTTCTTTTGTATCTCCTGACATTTTACAGATCAAATAAATAGCTAAGAAAATAACCAGCTGGCTGATTCATCTGTGGCAGGCTTTCCCCCGGACCTTCAGGATAATTGTTAAGGTGAGGTGGTATGCCACCTTACAAATCTGTACAGAGACAATTTAAGTGGTATTATTCATCTTTCAGTGATGCAATGCTTTGCATAGATCATGGATAGTGACCTCTGATGATTACCTTAATAGTCTGACAAAGCTACATTAAGGTACATAAAGGTCGCAATCATTAAATAGACTGCATTTGTCATGTGTGAAATAATTTAAATCAGCTTTATGATTTTAGGCAAGGTGGCCTACCCCAGCTACAAAACACCATGGGAGACCTTTAATGGAAACAATGTGCAGTTGCAGCTCTAGTATGATTTAAGTGGAGGTTAGTTGAGGCTACAATATTGATTTAAAGTAAAATACATTACTGTCAAGTGAGCCAGTAAGGTCACACTACAGCAAAAATGGTACGGGGTTAAGGTTACAGTGTTTTCACTCCTAAAAAGGACATGACCTGTGCAGCGCTGTAAATCAGTTTAAAGGCAGCTAATCTTGTAGCTAGCCTCCGTGTAGATGCAGCCACAGTGTTTTCAGACAGTCTTCATGGTTCACTTCACACAGACTGTCCTCCTCCTCCTCCTCTTCATGCTGCTAGCTCATGACATGCTACATAGTAAGCTAGCGTGAAGCTACCGGCAGGCACAAAGAGCCCACACAGCTGGCCCTAATTCCGAAAACCCTCATCAATGCTGCCCAAACACAACAAGCAGCCGCTCAGTCTTACCTCCTTGACTGCGACGGCGGCTCCCAGTCCCCGCACAGACTCGACCCGTGCTTTCAAAACGTGATTTAATGCTGCAGTGAGCTGGCCAACCTTGTCCAGAGTCTGGAGGAGATGCTGAGTGTCTGCTCACCGATGTTTAAAGCATTAGCTTTTTCCTTTCAGCCGCTCACTGTAAAAATACAACTTCAGCTCCCTGCCCGTAAACCACCGTGTATACGTGCCGTTGCTTTTAAAGCCAATGTACGTCGCCGACGGTTGGTAAAGAGAAGCGAAAGGAAACGCGCACGTGCGTGTCACTCTAGATAACAATTCGACCAAAATGCGTCAAAATATAACAAGAAAATGTTGCTGTTTTACGTAGCAGCAAAGTAAATCGACTATAAACACAACCACTGATTTAAACAGAAAGAACTTTACCTACCTCTAGTGGACGTTAAAACCCACTACACGCATCCTGCGCGTTTGCAACAACTTTACGGTAACATGATGGACATGCAACCAAAAAGACGTAGCAAACTCAGAGCCAATCAGCGTTTGAGATGGGCGGGACATACTCATATAACGGACCAAGAATCCCTCCGTCTGTCTGCCGCCGTTAACGGACACGACTGTTCATAATGGTGTGAATTATTATCAGAAACGTTATGAGACACGGTGTGTGCCACACAGGGGAGACGAGAATGCCGGACACTTATGTAAAACTACACTGAAGTAAGTCAAATGTTGTCTTACGTAAAACACCTACCGGCTAGCTTAATGCTATAAAGCTATAAAAGCTAGCTGTCACTGTAACATAAGCTAACTGCAAAGATGAATGGACATTATTAATACACAGTTGATTCTAGCTGTGAAAGTGACATGTTGTTTGATGTGGTTAACAAGAACATGTTTTAAAGAGCTGTTTGCAGCCATTGTGATGTTGCTGTGTCTTATGTGTAGGTTTCCTTGCTGTAATACACCACAGACCTAACAGTCATCATAATTAGGAGTGTCTGATTGTGTCTCTGATGGATGTTTGTGTGTGTCCTCCTCTGATCTGTCTGCAGTCAGTGAGATGTCTCTGGCTCAGAGGGTTTTGCTGACCTGGGTCTTCACCCTGGTCTTCCTCATCATGCTGGTACTGAAACTGGACGGGAAGGTAAAGGTTTCATTTCAATAGACAGCCTCATTGTCCATTTACTTTAAATCCTTGGTGTGTTTAGTTGCTGAAATGTATTTGTATGTCATCAACTCCATTTTACCCTCAAGACTTTAAACCCAGGCTAGAAATTGACCCACCACACTGATTTATGTAGTGGTTCCTAATTGCATATTTTTTCTTTTTACTAACAGTCGGCAGCTGTCCTTAAAAAGTATGCGCTGTTGCATGCAGTATGCACACAATCAGGATGTGCTACTGTATCATAACATTACACCCTGAACTTTGACCCTCTTGCTTTTATATCCATCATCTTGGAGATAAAATCCACTCACCGAGTTCACCAAAGACGTAGATCAATCTGGAGAGATCTGCTGCTGCTACTTTGCAATGTCTGTAGTTAAACTTTAAAGTTATAGCTGCACAGGTTGTTGATTTTGATATCCTACTGAGATCTGAACTTTTGTTTGGTGTGCATTCTTATTTTCTCCTAGCTATTTGGGATCAGTAGGACCCGGTAAGTGTAAAAAAAAACCTCAACACTGTCAACGATAATGAAGTCACAATGTCCTCAAACGAGTACTTCCTAATTAACAGTGTCTTATCTTGTTACCGTTGCTAAAATAGGTAAAATTTGTTGCCATATCAAACTATAAACATTATTAATCATAAATAAACAAGTTTCAATCATAAAATGTGATCAGGTTTTGGACCTTGTCCACTTTTGTGTCAGGATCAGCTGCAGACTGACTTGGCAGAGATGGCTGCCATCTTGTTTTTACATGGATTAGTGTATTGTGGTCTTACTGCCACTGGCACAAAAAGTGTCCACGAATGAGGACAACAGGTCTTAGTTCAGCAGAATGAAGTATAAGATAGAGTAGACCCAAAATGTGATGTCCTCATATGAGGACACAGTCTCAGGAGGATATATTATATTTGTGACAGTGAAAATGCAGTTCTGTCATTGTTATTTTTATAGCTATGCCCTGTTATTGTTTGTAATATTTATGATTATTTCGTTCACTTAAACAATCAGTATTCCTGTTATCTGTTTGTGACTCAGTCGAGGTGAGGTATCTTCCGCTGCACAGAGGATTGTGGGTCAGAATGGCCAGAAAAGCATGCTGGCTTACATACTGCTAAATCGGTCCAGATGTAGTAGAACACCCTGGTGTTTTTGGCACTCTGAATTTCACCTACTATGTATTGGGACATACTAAGACTTATTTTCTGGCATACTATATAGTATGGTAGTATGGGTATTGGAATGCACAGTTAGCATTCCAATACATAGTATGTCAAATGCAGTGTGCCGGAAATACCAGGATCTTCTACTACATCTGGCCGTAGTTTTGCAGCGTGCAAGCCAGCATGCTTTTCTGGCTATTCTGACCCATACTCCTCTGCACAGCGGAAATACGTCCCATCAGCTGAACTGCAGGGAGATGACAGCTGATTGACAGCTGTTAGAAGTAGCATTGACAGATGACAGCGGATTCAAGTAACTGATGACCAGTTGAATAGTAATATTAGCATTATCTTCATAAAGATTACCAAAAACAAAAGGACATAACTGAAAATAATGACAGAGAAATGCAGATGTAATTTCACCTTTGTGAATATGTTAGAATCTACAATCTGTGTAGTTGTAATTTAAAACTACAAACATCCAAAAGTAACAATGGCAGAGCTCTCTGGATTGACCTCCATCTCTGGCAGCGTTTTATTTTATCTCTAAGGTAATGGATATATGAGAAAGGTGGTCAAAGTTCAGCACATGTTATGACAAGCTATGTCCATGTGTGCATACTGCATGCAACAGTGCTTACTTTTAAAGAGCAGCTGCAGCACCTACCTAAGTAAAAGCAAAGAAGTATGCACTTTGGAATGTACCCATGATACATTTCTTCCCTTTGCTCCCTCCAGGTGCAGTGGAACTGGTTCCTCATCTTCCTCCCAGTCTGGGTATTCGACGGCATCCTCATCCTCATGCTCGCCATCAAGATGGCAGGCCGCTGCAAACCCGGGTATGACCCGCGCAACGGCTCCCCGGACCTGCGTCTGCGCGCCTGGTATCTGACAGCCATGCTGCTCAAGCTGGGCTTCTGCCTGACGTTGTGCGCCAAGCTGGAGAAGCTCGCGGACGTTAAGCTGACGTTTGTGTGCATACCACTGTGGACCATGTTGCTGGGGGCGCTGGTGGAGCTGGGACTGAACATCTTTCCTGAGAGGAGAGAAGCCTGATAGCGGACGAAGAGTTACACCAAGAAAAAAAATAGTTGGGGATAGATTTGCGGTTGTATGACCAAGACTGTGCGAAACTGGAGCTGATCATGTTTCCAGAGAAGAAATCAAATCATCACTTTAGTTATTAGTGTTCTTAAGAGTAAGAGACTTTGGGTGAAATAAAAATCATGGTGGAGTACGCTGTGAGGACACGGCAGAGACTCTACTGTCTGTCCACTCGTTTAAAATTTTCACAATAGCTAAAAAATGTCTCAAAAAGCCAGACAGGGATCAACTCTAAATGTATAAGACTACTGTGAAGCCTACACTGGAAGAAACATTAACATCTGCTAATGTTTCCTTTTGTCTTGAACTCAAAATGTTCAGTATTATTTTCTATTTTCTCTGTATATAAGCTGCCACCCCTGCTCTCACAAAGAACGTCACTGAACAGTATTTAATTCTCTCGGTACCAAATCATGGCGTGCACATTTTGCTACATACGCTTTAAATAATTGCGCGGCTGTATTTACAGCGCAAACACTTTCTTCTTCTCATTCCCGAGCTGTGGAGGGTCGCCGGCCAAATATCATTTCACGAGTTATAAATTAACTTTAGAGGTGTTCGTGACGACAGCCCGGTTTGGCTGCAAGCGCTTGGAGAAATTGGATAATTCAAGAAGTTGTCCAGGACTTCAAAGCGTCTTGGAACAACTTGTGATTTTTCCACAGGCTGCCCTCTCTGCTCCGTACAAGGTCTCTTTTGTACCATGTAAATCATGATGTGCCCCGTGAGAAACAGTAAGCTGTTATTACCGCGAGGTCGACAGGGAAACACCTCGACACGTATCACGATAAAGATCACGTTCCTACTGTGTATTAACTTTAATTATTAGGGCGTAAATACCTCCCACCAGCGGTTTATAGTCTTGTGTCATCATCGTTTTCAACTCTAAGGTACGGCTGACACTGTGCATGCATGACATCTGTATTGTGCCATTTGATTATGAGTGTTTCAGATACATTCTCTGCGTTGTTTTGCACTGTGTTGAAATGAAAAGGAATAATAGGTGTTTTGGGACTGAAAGTATTTGATAATTAATGCACGTCTTGCAAAAAATAAATGGATTCTGTACATGAAACTGGCCTCAAATACTCGTGCAAATACACACACATGCTCAAGTGTTTCCATATTCAGAAGGATCCAAATTAGTTGCAGACTATGTAAAGCAAAGTATTGTGGTTGTTGAGGGGAAAGATCCTGCTGGGACGTGACCTGAAGTGAACTGTGAGGCAACCACAAAGCCAACAGTAGCATGTGCGAGTTGTAAAGTTACCTCAGCCTGCACTAGCTACTTTTTTTAAGCATCCATCGCACATCGTTTCTCATTACTGACATCCTGTCCTCCACCTGCAGTTGGATGTATTGCCGTTGCAAGTGTAACGGTGTAGAGTCTGCTGGTGTGCTATGCGTCTCCAGCTATTAGAGTATATTAATGGGCAATTTACATGTTATCGATGCAGAAAAGATAATTAGAGCTGTTTGACTGCTGCTCACAGCCGTATTATATGCTGCGATGCTGAAACCCATCAGTGCTCTGTAGATGTTAATGTGAAAATATTGTCAGCATAGTGATGAGTGAGATAAGCGGGAGCTGGTAGAAATCAAAGAGAGAGCAACCCTGCATGTTTGTTTCTCAGTATTTCTGCAGACACAAACAGCTTTGAACATGTTGGAAGAGATAAATCAACTGAATTTAAGGACCCGGACCTGAACCCTGGTGTAAATGCTAACCACTGCACCATCGTGCCACCTCCAATAATGTCATATATAATACAAGTGCTTTTACATTTGGTACCTAAAGGTTATTGTATTATTGAGTTTACTTGAGTGACAGATCTTAATACGTCTTATATTCAGTGTTTAAGGTATAGGAAAAATAGTTAAAGGGTAACTGTGACTTTTTCATCCTGGACCCTATTTTCACGTTTTAGTGTCAAAGCGACTAACAGAGACAGCAACTTTTGAAACTGGTCCAGTATTGAGTAAAAGCGCTGCAGCAGTCAGATGCAACACAGGCTGCAATGTAACATTACAGGGCAATTGTGCGCCGTCAATTTATATCCACTGAAAGTGCTTGTTTTTGACGCTGATAGGCTCAGATTGTTATTATAAGTGTCTGACAATTTATGGAAAGGATCCCTACACAGATAGACTTATTTTTTAGAGGGTAAGATCCTTTTTGTTTAACCAGAAACCTGAAATTGCTATCGTCAAACCAACCAGACTCCATTTAAATAAACAGGTATTTTATCACTGTAAAACACACTTTATTCAAAGTCGACAGAAACAAAATAAAACTCACAAAAGTTGTCATGGTTCATCTTTCCACTGTTCTAACAATCACCAACTCTGGTTTGATTGAAATAAACCCTAAATTCACCCAGTTAGACATGAAAATATGCTGGCTCTATACACACTAAAATTACTGCTTTTTTAAATGGAGTCTGGTGGGTTTGGGGATTGCAATGTCAGGGCTGTTTCTAGTTAAACAAAAAGGATCTTACTCTTTAAAAAAAAGGTCTTTCTCTGTAGGGATCCTTTCCATAATGTTGTCAGACACTTATGGTAACAGTCTGTCAGTGGCAAAAACAAGCACTTGTAGTGGACGTACATTGACGGTGTATAATCGCCCAGAGTGGTTACATCGCAGCCTGTTATCGCCGCTCACTCAAAACGGGACTATATCCAGAAACTGTTGTCTCCATGAGTCACTTGTGGAAAAAAAAAAACCCCACATTTATTTCACAGTTTAACTAGTGAAGAGTGCTGTTTGTGGATAATTCGTATGCAGGCACTCAGGGAATGAGCAGTCTATGCTCAAACACTGTACAGTCTCTGTGCTTCAATGAGATTTTTCCAATGATTCCCTCCAAAACTCTTTTCTTTCTCCCTGCTCCAACTTCCTGCCCCACTCCCACTCCCAGTCTGAAAGGTCAGCTGAGCTCCTCTGGCATTCCCGCTGTGTTTGAGAGCGCATGAAAGCATGAAAAGAGAGGGGGTAAGGCTGTTCTGAGTCTTATTTGACCTGACGCACACCAGCCCTGAATTATGGGGCTACTGCATTGTGGTGTGTATAAAATCTCTCCTGGTAAAAGTGCTGAGCTCATTGCTGCAGACTGCAGTGAGTGGGTGGCTTGCATAACAGCAATACACAGAGAGGAAACTCAGGCGGGTATACATGAGACAAAAGTGGAGGTATTTTTATTTGATTTGCAAACATGTAAAACAGCATAAAGTCCTGATAATGAAAAATAAGACGTGTCAGGAGAGGTTGAGAAGTCACAGGCTTATACAAAGTACCTCCCCTCAACTTGAAGATATACAACAAAAGATAAATCTGTCCTCATCACATATTGACGTTAGGTCATGGACTTTCCACCTTGACATACGACATGCAAGGTACCTTGGGTGCATTGGTTGTTGACGATCTGGGACGCCGTGTCAAGTTTTGCCTGTTACATGCATTGTCTTCTTTCAAAATACACTTCTGTTTTCACAGGAAATTTACCGTTCACATACAGTCTCTTTCAAAATAAAAGTATTACGTCGGTACAACAACGCAAATTGACATTTTTATTTCTTCTGCAACTAACAGGTGGTTGGATTTAGGAATAAAGAACAGGGTTTAGCTTTATAATCTTACCGGACGCTCTCCTGGCTGAAAGTCGGTGTTTGTTGGCCCCATCCACCACCCCTCCAGACTACCCTCCTCTGTTTTGCCGCCTTAACTTTCGTTCTTGTCCTGCTGTGTTTCCCCCGCCGCCAACAAGTGCTGTTATACTATATCAGCAACTGGCTGCGTATCATGCCAATGTTAAAGGACACCTTTTTCGTCAGTTTCTGACGCCGCAAGTCACCTCCCAAGCACCGGATTTCGACGACTTCGGAAAAAGACAGGGTTGGTCCGATGGCTTAGTCGATAGAGCAAGCATTCCATATACAACGGCAACTGTCCTATCTAATAAAGGCAAAAAAGCCAAAAACAGAAAGAAGAAAAAACGTTTTGGTGAATGTTACCTCTTCGAGACTCAAAGTTGTTAAGATGAAACCATTTGAGATGTAAAGAGGGGAAATCTCTCTGAGCTGGAACTGTAACAACTCAGAGACATCTGAAACATGCAGAGTTGCTCTCTCTTTGATTCTTGCCAACTCATCTGACTCTTCACAATGCTGACAATATGTTCAGATTAAGAAGAGAAGATCTAGAAAGCACTGATGGGTTTTAGCATTGCACTTTCATCATCACCATTCAATACCTTAATCACAGTGCAAAAACGTTGAATAGAGCTCTCCAATTTTTTTTGCCTCCTTGGCAAACGCTCCTTCACAAACATGAGAGCCAGAAGTCAGGATTTCGGCATACTCTTGCTCGGCGACATGTGTGTCTGGTGTTGAGTAGATTCCTCTTCCATAATTTCCTTTTTCTCTTGATGACGCCTTTGGCTCCATCTAAGCTTGTTCCATGGTAGGAAACCATTCTCCAGGTACAGAGAGACTCCTCCATCTGCTTGTGCCCAACCAGGTGTCTCCATCTGGATATTTACCTTCACCTTTGACGTTCAAGGCCATGCGTTACCAACCTTTGGGGCACACATAACGCTCATCACCTCTCAGAAGCTGAGCCAAGTCAGAGAGATGAGTGAAGTCGTTTTAACTCGTACATTTCAGAGAAACAAAATACTCAGCAAAAGCGTCTCTGTTAGTCTTTCCACTGCTCCAAAAACTAACCAACTCTGGTTAGGTTGAAATAAACCCTTAATTCACCAAATTACCTGTTAAATTAATATCACCACATCAGTTTGAAAGGTAACATGTCATATGTTGTGTTCACAGTTTGTTTAACATTGCCCAAAAGTGTCAAAAAGCTAGTTTCTTGGTAAAGGAACAAAGGTTGCTTTCACGTTCAGTGTTTCTCACCAAAAGTTGAGTACATTTCTTTCCTCAATAAACATTTACTGATTAGATTTTTATTTTAATAGTCTAAATCTTGCATTATTCAGTCATGTTAGTGGCTAGCTGTCTTCTTCTTCATTGCGTTGTTGGTTATTGCCACCTAAACCGACAACGAACTCTTAAAAAAAATACCCTTGTTGACATGTACGTTTTTAATCACTAGACCAGTAAACATGACATCGCACCACAACCTTTTCCTTACATTGAACCTTTTATTAGCCAGGCTCATATTTAAAGTAGAAACCACACTACAAGTTTTTTCCTCTTTACAAAACTTTTTATGTACACTACAGTGCTGACAGTTAAAAATCACACAAACAAAATAGAAAAAACAAACCAAAAAACTTTGAGATAAATAAACTCTGAAAACAAACACCAGGCCCCTGAAGACTTGTTTTGTTTTCGACCATAATTTCGTAACATTTGTACAAAAAATATAGAAGTTCCTGTCAGGGGTGGGTTTTTTTTGTTTGTTTGTTTGTTTGTTTGTTTTTTTTGGTAACATCTGAAACCCAAAAAGATAAAAAGAGCTGCAGAGCGCCTTGCAACTGGCATCAAGTGCTTCATCGTCACCTCACTCTCCCCAAAGCCGCAGAGCCAAGAGTTCTGTCTCTGAAATGAGGTCTTTAAGAGAGCTCAAGGTTTAATATTCCAGGATTTTCCAGGCCTGCGGTGAGACTAATCATTAAAAACACAACCCTGCTTTTAGGACATCATCTCACCAAGCCACAGAGTTTGACTCATCCCAACTTGTGCCACAGATATTTGGAAAGTTTTCAGCGGCTTTAGAGACCAATTTAAGGCTCTTTAAGTTTTCCAGTGAAAACATGAAACTGAGGCTTCTAAAAACTCCCATGAAAGGACAGAACTCCGTCTCTACACGGCTTGGGACCATTTAGTAGTTCACAGTTAAGGACAGGCACTGGGGAAATGTTGTGGGCTACATTAGCAAGTGGGCTGTACTCCAATATCGATAGTAAAATCAAGACATCAATGACAAAGAAGAAATCAAGTTTCAACATCAAAGTGAGACAGAAGAGTCTGGATTTAAAAATGAGATATTCACCACTTGGAGAAACATATTCATAGTTGTCGCAAAAAACAGAATGTCAATAATTTATTGTGGTTTTAAAACACAAGAGGTCACTCCAGTCCCTGGTTGATAAATAAAACATTTCATAGACACACTGCAGAGAAACTGGACTTCAATTAAATAGATAAATAGTGCTCTGGGAATGAACTCTCGACAGTGTACCTTCTGTGTCCTGGAGCATGTTTCCATTAAGAATAAAAAACAAAGTTTTCATAGGAGTTGTGATGCCTGAATTATTAAAAGGACAGTTCATCCCAAAATCAAAATTCATATAATTCCTCTTATCTGTAGTGCTGTTTATCGCTCTACATTGTTTAAGCTTGAGTTGACGTGTTGGAGTTGTCTGCCTTCTCTCTAATATAAGGAAACTAGATGGCACTCAGCTTGTGGTGCACAAAGCAGCAAAATAATACATTTGAAAATCTCAACAGCAATGTCTCTTTCCAGAAATCACAACCTGGGTCCAGTTAAAATAAATTAGTAGAGATAAGGACAATCCAGATTTGGAAATCCCATGTTTTGCTGTGCAGGATCAGCTGATCCATCTTACTTTTGTGCCAGTCTTTTGAAGCTTGGATCAAAAAGATAAGATCATCCTGATCCAGATACAGACTTTTCAAGATTACCAAATCCGGATATCCATGGGACTGGATATTGCAATGTAGGCAGGCTACCAAAAAACATGCAATTGCCACTTATTGCCACAGGTGTGACCAAAGATAATCTAACAGAGATCTTTGAGGCCCTGAGAAAGCATTTTAGCAGCTGGAGGCGGCTCTTTGTAGTTGTTTTTGATGAGAATGAAGCTTTTTGCTTGCTGTCTTTGCGTTGCGATGTGCCTTGCATTTCTGGGCTCTAAGCACCAGGGGTTTTTGCCGGAGCACTCTGAACTCCTGGAATTGAAAAACCTTAAACTCAGAGCAGAAAAACGCTCCATGTCATCTTTTTTTCCCCATTGTCGAAGGCAGGCCTTCAGTGGTGGTCATGACAACAAGTTTACAGTTGGCAAACAATGGAGGAGAAACCAGTGGTAGCGGTTGTTGGATACCCAGAGCGATACAGCCCGACGATAGACAGCAGGTTGTCAAACTGCCCCTGAGTCATCCTAAAATATGCCTGGAAACAGCCATCATGGGGGAGAAGCTCCTGGACCAACTGGTGGTGCTCCCTGTGATCCACCCTCTTTTTTAGGGTCTCATGAACCCATTTTCAGGGCTTGATCCAATCCAATATCCAAAATCTGATCACTCGTGGATTATCTTGAGTAATAATAATAATAATTTCTGGAAAGAGACATTGCTGTTGAGTTTACCTATGGATTATTTTGCAGCTTTGAGCACCACAAGCTGAGTGCCATCTAGTTCCATAGAATTCACAATAAACAGCACTACAGGTAAGAGGAAAAATATGTACTTTTAATTTTGGGGTGAACTGTCACTTTAAAGTAATCGTCTTGGAAGAACTTGAAATTGCCCTGTTGATAATCAGACGTAATTAGTGGCTCCAATAACATCAACTGTATTTAAACAGCTGCTGATATATTAATGTTACAAAGTGCTGTAATGAGTCACATCTGGGACGTCTTGACCTCCTGCATCTGTGTGATATTGCTCTGCTCATTGTTATTTTTATCCAGATGCTGTGAGATCAAAAGTTTAGTCATGGCGAGCTCTTAATGTAGCTGCATAGGTACTAACATCATGTTGCAGATTGAACCCTGAACTACTACCTTAAAAGGTAACAAAAATTTAGTTTTTTTAGTTTTTAGGAGACCAATATATTTGTGGATGTGTCCTGAATATTTTTATTCCTGAGACTCTGAAGGCCGGTCTGTGTAGCAGCCTTGGCTGGGTCGAATTTGTCCTTGGCTGAACAGTCAAGTGCTCCGTTTCCAAAATTAGGAGACCCTGGTACACATCCAAAAGACGCTGAGAAACACAGCAAAGTTACACTAAGAGCTCTGCCACTGGTGTCGAAGGCTACTGGTACAAGATAAGCGCCATACTTACACAGTTGTTTGACATTTTGGGAAATATTCACTTTGTTGTTTCTCAGAGAGCCAGACTGTTACCACTCTGCCTGTATGTATGGTAAATATGAAGCTATCAGTAGCAGCAGGTTAGCTTAGCTTATCCCCAGCTAGTAAAAATCCACCTGACAGCAGCTTTAGAGCTCACTAACTAACACGCAAGTGTAAAAATTACACCTGGTTAGGGACCGGGGCCGTGCCGCCCATAGGGCAGGTTAGGCAAATGCTATAGGCGCCAGCATGCCAGAGGGTTTTTTGTTGTTGTTGTTGTTGTTTTTCTTCCCCATTCTATTCGAAAAATTAGACAAGAATACACTACACAACAACAACAGCACATATAGCCATACGTCTTCAAATAATAATGAAATAATGTTTCTATTTTAAAGTTCTGCCTGCCTGGCATCCTTCAATTCCGCCACGGTCCACTTGAGCACTTGCAAGCTAAACTCAGCTCATTAGCCGCTAATGATTAGTGGTTAGGCTACTACCACGTAACGTCAATGTTACTGCGACTTCATTAGCCATTTGTTTTAGGAATACTTTCAGCATTCAGCTAGAGTTAATGTCAGTTAATGATGCTCCTATCTTAGAGAAAGTTGGAAAGAAAGAATGAATAAGCAACATAATTTAATGTATTGGCCTATCTTTTCTTTTAATGTTTAGTGTGCTGCTGCATAAACCCCTCACTGTTTACCAACCAGGCATATATTCATATACTGTATATTTATGTTTTCCAATTTTCAGATTTGTGCAATTTGTGATGTTACAGTTGGCATTTTTTATATTTTGGCTGTTTGCTGTGTTTAAAATGTCATTAGATCAAGGCAGGCTGTAATGTTAGGTGCCATTATGGTTATGCCATGATGGTTTCACAATCAACAGCTATTTGATTAATATATATTGCAAAAGCCCAGTTTGTCAAATATATGTATCTCCTCTTTTTAGATGCACTTCTGAAGTATTTGTCCCCCACCTTTGCAAATCCTGGGCCTACTAATGTAACTGCAGCCACCTCATCCACCTCAGCACCAAGTGATGCAGCCTCAAGTGCATCTCCCTCCCACACACAAACGATGTGTGGGAGGGGACGATGATGATGATGATGAGCGCTTCAGTTCATCATCTGTACAGGTAAGAAGCCCTGAGACTGACTCAAGGCAATCAGAGGACAGCGCGGAAAGTAAAAAATCTCAAGCCCAGAAAATAGTGTCAAAGGAGCTGGGAGATGTCCTAAATATTTTATTGGATGATGCCTCTGACGCTGAGCGTGATGTGCTGCTATGTGACACCTATCAGGAGAGTGATAGTGTCGTGAGTGACATCAGCGAGTCTGCTGGTGCAGCAGTCAGGGCAAGTAAAAGCCCAGGACCCAAGATAACGCTTCTGTTGGTTAAACAGTATGCTAAACAGTTGATACATCGTGCCGCAAGAAATCTTAAGAGCAGATTCTTGCCCAACAGCAAAGTGAAAAGCCGAGAATCACTGCAATCCTTTGCTGACTCTGTCTCTGAACTGCTCCGACCAGAGGGTGGTGAGAAACAGCCAGCTGGAGATGAAGCCTTGCAGTTAAAAAAAACTGCAACATATTGCTGAAGGTAGAGACCTAGTTTTCACAGAGGCACTGGGGAGTCTCCTTTCTGATTACACTATTGAGGGGATGACTCGAGAGTCATTTAGTCGGCTTGGACCACTTAAAAATACACTGGCCGACATCAGGAGAGCTACTTCCAGGACAGTGTGGCGTTTCCAGGTACTGCTGAGGTGGTGGCTGACATATCAGGCTGGCATCCATTGTGACAATGTCATGACGGCTTTAAATGCCACTGAGCCAACCTCACCAGCACCCGCAGTCACAGTACCGGAGACAGTTGCTGAACCGGTGCTCCATTTACCATCAGGCCAGGATTTAGAGACAGAGACAAACAAACTCTCTGTCCAAATACATGTTGACAAGTTGGTTACAAGGGTCTTTAACAAAGCTAAGGTCAACAAAAGATGTGAAGACCTCTATGTCACCATTGACCGCCTTTTCAATAAGATATGGGCCGAGGTTGAGGGAGCTGATTTTGATATCTCCCCAGGAACTTTTAAAAGCCTCGACAAGGCCGTTTTCAAGGACTTGTGTGAATTCTGGGGCTGTGCTGAGCTTGTTCTTCTGAGAATGAACCGAGGAGAACAAGAAATCGATCACATAGCTTGCACCTTTAAACATCATCTTAAGACGCCACCGAAGCAACGTAGTGCCATCTGCAGGTTCTTCTCCAGTCTGGGCCAAGCAATCTCAAAGCCCTTCACTTCAACCTGCACAAGGGTCACTCCCATTTAGGTGACATCCGACAGGATTCATGTTGGAGGAAAAATTTGGCGTGAGGCAGCAAATATCTTGCCTAGGGTGCCAAATTGGTCAGGCACGGCCCTGCAGTTTGGAGTGGACCAAGTTCGTCCTTTTGTTGATAGATTTTTCCAGCAGCTGTCAAGAGCACAGCTTCAAATGCCTTCGATTTTTCAGATCTTTATCATGCTTGTCTGCAAATCCAAAGATTTAAACACACTGTACTCAGGAAATAGAGTTTTGTTTGTTTGTTTGTGTCATGGTGTTAAGTTCAAATCTTTTAGTGGTGGTTATAAATTCAAAGCTCGAGAAGACTTTACAGAAAGGAGAAAACCACAACACCAGCAGGTTATGTGCCAGACTATTTCCTGACCAGGAGCAGTAACTTGTAGAGTTGACAAGACTGCAGTGTTTCCAGTCTTTATGCTAAGCTAAGCTAAGCTAAGCTAAGCGACTACTGGCTCCAGCAATTTACCGCACATACAGGAGTGGTCTCAAGCTTTTTATCTAACTCTCGTAAAATAAATACATTTCCCAAACTGTCAAACTATTCCTTTAAACTGTGACTCTCTTCATGGTGCTGCTACACTCTGTAGCGTACTATAATTGCCATTGGGGGGGGGGGCACTTAAAACTGCACTAATATTCTTCCTGGACAATAAAACACTGGAGCTAATTCAACAGGACATTACTATCTTTTATCAATAGCTCTGAAATCAGAATAAAAATACTGATATTTGCAGTCACCGTGTCAATGATGGGAAATACATTTGTACTAATATTCAGCGGATTATTGCAGAGCATTATTGCTCAAAATACAATATCAGGGAAACATACTGTGACATCCTGTATTGACTAAGGTTTATCTGTACAATATAGAGGAGGAAATGTGATTTGACCCATCATTATTCTGGAAACAGTCTTGGGCACAAAAAATATACTAGGAAAAAAGCCACAAAAATGGAAGCATTAGCTGCAAGTTTCACAAAAAGGTCATCACGATGACCTTTTTATATAAATATCTGACACAAAGTCGTTCAAAGCAGAATTTTACCATCTTTCCTTCCTTCCTTTGACGGCTCGCTTCAAACAAGAGAACCGGACAGCAGTTTGGCAGACGAGTGAGCTCATTCAAACCTCGAGCCTGAATAATATCTTTAAAGTCAAAACTGATGCAGCCGTACGTGACTGAAGGCCAAAACTACTGACAAATGCAACTCTCAGTATTTCTGAGTACAACCGAAGAGTTCAGAACAATCTAAACCAGTCCAGTGGAGAGGTCGGGGTGAGTTAAGTCCAACTCTGCTTCATAGACTACCAAACTGTGATCATACCAATACACCGTCTGCCTCGTTATTTCCTTTATACATCGTTTTACAACACAACCGAAATAAAACCTTACATGTAAAAACAGCATCAGTATGTACAAAACTACTATAAAATCTGTTTCTGCTCCTCTTCATGCTTCGGGGGAGAGAGGAGGACAGAAGGGGAGGGTTGAGGAGGAGGAGGAGGTGGAAGAGAAGGCGGAGGGGGAGGCGGCGAGGAGGAAGGAGGAGGAGGTGGGTGAGGGTAAGACTGAGGTTGGTATTGTGGTCGTAGCGGGTAAGAGCTGGGTGGCTGAGGGAGGTAAGACTGAGGTGGGAGGAAGTGGTGAGGAGAGAAGTGGGGATGCTGAGGGGGGAAGAAGGTGTTGGCGTGTGGGGTGAACTGATGGTGAGACAGGTGAGGGGGGAGCGACTGGGAGCTGGTGAGGGGAGTGTTTGGTTGGTGAGGGGCGGCGATCAGCGGAGGCTGGTAGTACGGCTGAGACTGCGCGGTGATGTTTGGTTGGTGGTGCAGGTGCATGTTGACTGAGTGTGGCGGTGCTTTCTGACTGAGATAAGAGTTCAGAGGTTGGGGCTGCTGAGAAGGGAGTGGATTCGGGGGGAGCATCGGTGGTCTGTGAGGGAGGTGGGAATGTGGCAGGAGAGGGGAGAAAGACGGGGGAAGCATGGGAGGGAGGTGAGGAGGCGGCGGTGGGAGATGCTGGGGTGTGTATTGCTGCATGTAAAGTCCTTGCCTCACATTGTCCTGCGGCAGATGCATCTGTGGATCTGCAGACGTCCTGGCGTCCACACTGTGAGTCCACCTCTCTTGGAGTGTGTGTGTCCGTGAGTCCGTCGCCGTTCGAGCGACTGTGTGTGTCCGTGTGTCGGCTTGTGAGCTTGCAGAGGTTTGTACATCCACACCAGGTGACGCGTGTGACGTTCCGACCTCCTGTGTCCGTGTGTCAGAAGGGACGTCTGACTTCAGGCGAAGCGAGTCTTTCAGTTGGTCTGACGAAGAGGAGGAAGGCAGCTTGGAAGTCGAAGAAACCGTGGAGAAGTCCGCTGCAGGCTTGGGAGCAGCAGTAGATGTAGCAGTTGTTGACACAGAGGAAGATGTGGACAAAGCAGGAGACGAAGAAGTGGTAGAAGATGGACTGGGAGCTGCGTGAGAGGAGCGAATAGCGGAAGAAGAGGAAGATTTAGAGACGGGTGATTTAGGAGCTGAAGAGGAGGAAGATGTCATTCTGCTATCTGAATGATGGTGATGGTGGCGATGATGAAGGTGCTTTGATGCTTTGGGTTTTGTGTCCTGATGAGGATGATGAGGGGTTGGAGAGAGAGGTGAAGGTGATTTATTCTTGCAGGGAGGAGGCGCAAGAAGTTCTGCTTTCACCTTAGCAGGAGGTGAATCCTGCCGCTTGGGTTTTCCTCCATCTTTCATGCTCTCCTTCTCCACCTCTTTGTCTCTAGCGCCGCTCATGTTTGAGTCCACTGCGAGAGCAGGCTGAGACAGGAGAGGTGGATGTTGATCCTCTTCCTCCTTTTTGACAGTCAGCAACGTCCTGTTCTCTGCCACATCCTCCTCCTCCTCCTTTATCCTCTCCTTCAACCCTTTCTCACCCTTTTTCTTTTCTCTCCTCTCCTCCTCTTTCTCCTCCACTGCTTTCCTCTCCTCCTTCAACTCAACCTCCTGCTCCTCCTCCTTCACGTTAACCTCCTCCTCTTCCTCCTCCTCCTCTCCCTCTCCACGGTGGTACTGTCTCAGGCGGACGTGCCATGCCAGGCTGCAGACGGACGACACGGTCTTGAACTGGTGGACCACGTTGCGAGGGATGAAATAGATGTCGTTGTGGCACAGGCGGATGCGGGCGTAGTGAACGCCCTCGCGACGTAGCTGGTTCAATTTGGCGTCGTCCACCCACTGCACACACTGTAAAGATAGAGGAGATGAAGAGGTGCGCTCCAACATGAAACCTCAACTGAAAAATAATTTACAAATGTCCCCTTTTTTATTCTTCTTTACAACCTTTGTTCTGTACTGTGAATACATATTTTGAGAACAGATAAAAGTGTGTATGGACACGTGTGATTCCAGTGAATAATTTCCACTGAGAAACATGTAGGGATGCACCGATATGGAATTTTCAACCGATACCCATAACTATTAATTACCTACTTCTCATGGCCGCTGACCGATATGATAACCTCTATTTTTTGTATTTTAAAAAGAAGTGTGTAACCTGTAGTTTATTTACAACTAAGGGTAAGAAAGGCTCAGATGTAGTGAGAAAATATTCCATAGCCCTGACTGAACCAAATCTATCTGACATCACTTTTGGTAACACAACAAAAACAAATAACAGTTGTGACTCTTCATACCTGTCGACATTAGGCTGTGAAAAAGAGGGTATTGTCAAATGGTCTACCCTCAGCGCCATGAAAATGGGACGTATGGGCAACCCAAAATCATACATTTATTTATTTTATTTTATTTTTTTATTTAACTGTTATTTTTCCTGGAATATTCCCATAGAGATTTAAAATCTCTTTTGCATGAGTTTAAACATACAAGAAAGAAACAACAGATTTAAAACACACAGCCACTTTACAGCGATCAATTTAATTAGCAGTGTTCAGTTGGCGGACACGTGTATTCATTGGTCAGGTAGTCCCTAATCCAGTTGCTTATAATATTATCTAGTTTAAGGCGACTCTTAAGCTGACACCAAGATGACAGAGCAAAAACTGTATCAGCACTTTCACCAAAGACAGTGTGCTGTCGCCGTTATGGAGGTATTATAATAAATTACTAAGCTGACACTCATCTTTTCTGGGCTCCAGACAAGTTCTCTAACTCACTGTAGTTCACCTTTGCTCCACAGAGTGGCAGCATCCACATCACATTCATTTAACTTTACACCTAACCCCTGTGTTTGATCCTCAGTGTTACATGGAGGCAACACTGAGGAATATCACAGTCTAATTTAGGACCTAATAAAGATGACGAATCTGAATGTGTGTACTTATTGTGTGTTTGTGATGTAAAAACCTGAGACAGTGGAGGTTCATGCAGGTCCAACTGCAGCCTCTGAACGACTTGAGGGAAATCACCAGCATGGAAACACACAACGTCTTTGGTTACACGAGGAGGCTCCGAGCTGAGAACGAGTGAGGGAGGGAGGGGAGGAGCAGGATTACAAGTCATCTCTTAGGAGAGTAAGCTGTATAAATACTCAGCGTGTGTTGCCTCTAAACAAACAGCCACCACTCCCAGCAGTGTCATCATATGTTGCTTCACCGCCTACCTGTCTTCGGCCCGCACAGCCTTCAGCACCCCCACGGCTGCTGTGGTCTGTCGTTCAAAGCCCTGACCGATGTGATCGGCGTGGGCCCGAGTGCGATCCTCAAACAGCATCTCTCTGGGCTCGCTGGTCCTGGGCAGCGACTGCATCAGGTTCTTCACCTCGTTGGTGGAGCTGCGCCGGGACAGAAATAAACAGTGTAGAGTGAACAATAGAAACACACATCAGAGTGTCCACACAGTTCTACAGAGAGATTTCTCCCCCGTCTCTGCTTCCCTGCAGTCTAAATAAAGAGGAGGATGACAAAAGGTGAGTGGGCGGCTTTGTTCATTTCTTTGTTTCCTGTCTGCTGTGGCAAAATAAAAGCACCAGACAGGCTTTATCTATCATTGATGTAATCCAGACGCCACTGTGTGACACCAGGGGCACAGAGGATGCTGGGGAGGATGAAAACCTGCATTAGTGTGGATATAATAAAACATTCTTGTTGTGTGTTCAGGCAGTGTAGGAGCTGTTTTAGATGGGCTACAGTAAACAGTTATTATCAGTGAATCTGTCGCTTCTTACCTCAATTAATAGTTTGGTTTGTAAAATATCAGAAAAAAGGTCGTCGCAAAATCTTTTGTTTTGTCCAACCAACACTCCACAAATATTCACTTGAATATCATAGAAAACTACCAGCAACTATTTCCATTTTACAAACTGGAACAAGAGATTTTTAAAAAATATTTTCACTTAATTCATTAACAAAATAGCTCCTAATTATTTTTTTTGTTGATCAACAAATTGATTAAGTGTTTCAGCTCTACTTCAGCATATCAGTGATTAAACGATTAGCTGATTAGATGGCAACTTTGACAATTAATGAACAGAAATTTATTAGTGTTTAAATTTGAAGTCATTTACTGAGCCCAAATGTGATGTGGTGATTCCAATTTCTTAAATGTGAAAATCTGCACCTTTTCTCTATCTTCTGACACTGTAAATTTAATGTCTTTTGGTGTGACAATGTAAAAACAGGTATGTTCGACTCAGGACTAATGACTAATTTCCCTGACGATTAAACAGAAGTTTAAAGTTAAACTAGTCGACTAGTCTAAAACTAAGAAAAAAATTCAGAACAGTCAAAGTCAGCACAATTAAATCTTCATGGTTTGACATTCTCTAAAATAATAATGAGTAAAAGAGCCATCTGAGATTGTTTATCACATTTTTCAACAAACAAATTGTATTTTAAAAGCCACTGAAATGTGCCACACTTGGCACCGTGCATTGTGATCATCGCACTTAACATATTGAAAATGGTGTTGATTGGAAAAAGAACGTTTGTAAATTGTCTTGTGAAAATTTTCTCAGAATAACTGTGTACTAAAATCAATCTGATCTGTTGCTACTATGAGTTGGATTTTTGACTGCTGCCCTGGCAAGAAGTAACTTTTAATGGTACTTTCCTCAGGGGTCTTTTGGCATCAGTAATCCCCAGACTTTGTAGTTTGAAGTTTGCAATATTTTGTGATTATCCTACAAAATATAACAACTTGTTAAATAAAAGCTAAGAAATAACATTTATTTAACGAGTATTTAACGTCCCGACTCACCTCCATTCAAACACACACACACACACACACACACACACTGACAGTAACTCTCTAATGCAGTGTTAAGCAAATTGAGTGTTAAGCAAATTGATGACTTAAGATGTAACCTCGAAAAATACAAGTATTTATTTTTACCATTTTCTCCCATTTAATAGTTTAAACAATTAAGAAAAAAAAGTCCATATATCTATCAATCTGAACGTAATTGCTAGTTGCAGCCTTAGAACTGTTTTGATATAGAGAATGAGAACGCTCATTAGTGTGAACATTATAAACAACAGCATTTCTTGTGTTGAATAAATGTGAATGTCCAAACTGCATGTATTTAAGCACGGAGTAAAACTATATTTATTTTAGGGCTGCATTATTTGGGGAAAAAATCATATTGAGATTATTGTGACGGATACTGCACCTGCAAAATGAGTCATGATTTTAGTGGAAATGTTTTTGCATTTCATTTTCATTGACAAAAACACAAAAATGACAATGATGTGATTTTTGCTGGGGCCTGTACCAAACAAGCACATTCTCTTGTGTATGAAATATGATTTGTAGGCCTAAGTATCAGCCAAGCATTTATAATGGTATGTTGTGACACATTTTCCTTTGCCAGTAAATTGCAGCTTGTGCGATTCGGATATTGCAATTGGCTATATTGCGATTTCAGTAATGTTTCGATTAACTGTGCAGACTAGTATCTTTTTCTTCGGATGCAAATCATTTATTGTTTCCAAATACGTCTTCCCTTGCGTGGCTAATATGGTATCTAAACTCTTCCAAACACAAAATAGTGGTAACAGGAAAAGGAGAATGAAAAACTGGATATGAGAGATATCCTCTGTGTATCTTTGTGTCAAAAAAATTGAGCTTCATTTCAAATAATTTGGAGCAGTGCTCCAACACGTCCACATACGTTCACACTCTGCTTCATGCATCCAGAATGAGAAGCTGAGGAGTAACGGCATTTCAAAAATGAGCCGTGTTGCCAAACAATGGAAGTACTGCAGTCAGCTCACCACTGGATCAGTGACTCACTCTGGAGCTGCAGTCAGAGTCAAACGACAGTATAAACACACACTGTGAGAGATTCCTTCGAGAGTGTAACACAGACAGAACAGCAGCGAGACTACCCGCGCTGAACACTTAATTGTGCATTCATTCATTCAGAGATAAGAGCAGAGAGGCAGGAGCTGGTGGAAGAGGAAGAAAGAGTCAGAGGAAAATAGTACAGAGACTAGGGGGGTGATAAACACACACACACACACACACACACACACAGCCCAGTGTGTCTGAGCTGACTGCAGGCTGACAGTAATGAATGTAAAACCAGGAAAGCTGGTAAGTGAAACAGTGAAAAGAAGAGAGTGTAAAGGGAGGAATGCTGAACGTGCACATCCAGAGTGATATTCACCGTCTCCCTCCTCTGTGTGTGTGTGTGTGTGAGGTCCTCTTGTTCTGGCACAATGTACGTCAGTACTGCAAGTGGGCAACTGTCTCTGCACCAAGACGACAAGACAGATTCCTGTGCATTTATGGGCAAATAAAGTGGGAGGGAGACGAAAAGAGGAATCCGGGGGGAGTGGATGAGTGGCAGGGAGAGACTGAGAGAGACGAGATGATGGAGGGAGACAGGGGATAAAGACGGAGAGGGAGGTGGAGGGAAAAAAGGAGAGAAAGAGGGAACCACGCTCTCTGACGACAGGCACTGATAACGTGCATCTTAAAGCTGCAGCTCACACTCCTGAAGAGGCTGTACATCACATTTACATTTCACACGCTGAGTTAATGCACCTGTGACTCGGGCTGCTGCTAATGATCATTTGCATTATTGATTAATCTGCCAACTGTTTGCTCTGCTGATCAAGAATTGTTTAGTCTTTAAGATGTGAGGATAAAAGTTGTGTAACTGTTTCACACAGCCCAGTGTGACATTTTTAAAGTGGAAATAGGCACATTTTTTGCTTTAATTCATCATTATGAACTAAATATTGATTGCAGAATGTAATGTCTACTTGATGGAGGTTCCATTTATGGCATGAAAGAGGTGCATCAACCACTGCGTAACCACAACGGGGGAGGATAGTACTTTTGTTTTCCCTGGTTGCTATGCGTAGCAATCCCCAGTTATCAGCTCCTTGCAGTTACTGTTTCAATAACTAAACCGGAAAACCAAAGTGTGAACTACTAAATAAATCAAAACCTATATGATTGGACCATGTGGGAATTTAATTTGAAAGGACAGACACAGGAAGTGGCCACGCTCAGCAGTCAGACAGGAGTCAGGTTAATTTCCAGGGCTGGTACCTGCGGTTATTCCACAGGCTAGTTAATAACATGTCGGGCAGGAAATCCAAAGTGTGGGATCATTTTGAGAAGGTGTAGGACGAACCCAAGGTGATATGTAAACTCATCTTCATTGGTCGACTACAAACATGACGTATCATCTGAAACATGTCAGTAGCTACATGCCCATTAGCCCACAGCGTCATTAACAGGCGGCTCGCTCAGTGTGTGACGTGCACTTGTAGATAAAATATAGGCCTATATTAATGAAGATTCATTAGTACGGTTTTGTATTTCTCTGTGATGTAGCACAGTGTTAACAATGTTACTGATACAATTCTCTCTCACACCTTCAACTCAAACCATTGTGTTGCCCCGCAGCAGCAGAGCAGGGTCCAGCCTGGTGATGAGGATAGAACCACCTCTGCCTCATTTAGAGCCAGGAAAGACCCTGCAGGGGTTCGGAAAGTTGTCTGTTTCCACTTTAAAGATCCCCTCCAGACATTTTTAAGACATAAAATACTCTGCTTTGAATCATAATGAGTGTCAGATTAGTACCTCGTTAAATATTATTAAAATTCTCTGTGAAGGTTCACTGTAGGCTTTAAGTTTCCACATCAGACAAAGTTGCACACTGGAGTGAAAAAGCATGCCAGTACGTTCACATCTTAAACTCAGTCTGGTAGCATTGATTTTAGGATTTCACAGATCACTTTTAAAGCTCATCTGGGTTTGGCCCCAAGCTACAAAACAGAGATGTTGACCCCATATGAGCCAGTTCGCAGCCTTAGATCCTCAGGTGGGGCCCGTCTGGTCGAGGCTTAAACGTAAAGGTGACCGTGCTTTTGCCATCAGGGCCCCTCGGCAATGAGGAGAGAAGGCAGAATCAGTGACTTCTCTTAACTCACGTCTTAAATGTTGTTTTTATAGACTTGCTTTTATGTGATGTCGACTTTTAATTTACCTTTTTATGTCTGTCTTGATCCTGCCTATCTTTAATTAATATTTTGTGTTTCCTTCTTTTATTCTTTTTATTGCATTTGTTTTATTGGTATGTTTTTTTTAAAATAATTTTTATCTCTACTTCGCATCGTCATCTGTCTTTTTGTGTCTGATCTCTTGTGTAATTCTTCCTTAACTTTTGTCTGGCCTTAGTTCAGCATTATTGGATGGCTTCTATTGTTATATTGCCTCTGGCATTTCAAAGCACTTTGTAAACTCTGTTTTTAGAGGTGCTACATAAATAAAGTTATTACTAATATTTTTTGTTTAAACAACAAACTCAAAGATATA